TTTTTTTTTTTTTTTTGTGTGGTCAGGTAGCAGTGCTTTAACTGCTGCCTGCTAAGAGAGCTGCTTTTTCGTACTTTCAGGTTCAGTTTGGGGAGCTGCTTTAGTCTGCGTTGCAAACACATTAGTTTTTATAGAATCATAGAATGGTTTGGGTTGGAAAGGACTTTAAGATCATCTAGTTCCAATCCCCCTGCCATGAGCAGGACCACACACTAAACCATGTTGCCCAAGATTCCATCCAGCCTGGCCTTGTACACTGTTAGCGATGGAGCATTCACAACTTCCTTGGGCAACCTATTCCAGTGCCTCACCACCCTCACTGTGAAGAACTTCTTCCTTATATCTGATCTAAACTTCCCCTGTTTAAGTTTGAACCCGTTACCCCTTGTCCTACCACTACAGTCCCTCCCCAGCATCCTGCTAGGCCCCCTTCAGATACTGGAAGGCTGCTCTGAGGTCTCCACGCATGCTTCTCTTCTCCAGGCTGAACAGTCCCAACTTTCTCAGCCTGTCTTCACACAGGAGGTGCTCCAGTCCTCTTATCATCCTCGTGGCCCTCCTCTGGACTTGCTCCAACAGCTCCATGTCCTTTTTATGTTGAGGACACCAGAACTGTACACAATACTCCAAGTGAGGTCTCACAAGGGCAGAGTAGAGGGGCAGGATCACCTTTGACCTGCTGGTCACGCTTCTTTTGATGCAGCCCAGGATACGGTTGGCTTTCTGGGCTGCAAGCGCACACTGAAGCTGGCTCATGTCAAGCTTCTCATTAACCACCACCCCCAAGTCCTTCTCCGCAGGGCTGCTCTGATGTAATATAAAAAAAGGTTTTGAAATTGAATTATGCTACTTTTTTCATCTTTTTCCTTCATGGTGTGTGCTTGGGTTATAACTTGTATATCTTATGGTTGAGCAAATCCATTTTTGTGTCGAGCAAAGCATGCAGTTCGAACTCAATGGGATTCATGGACTCAGTTCAGGCTATTGATGGTGTCTGAGTTGTTTGCAGAAGTCAGAATGGGCATTGTCTGTCAACACACTGCGCCTTGGTCACTTGAAGCTTGGAGTCGATGTGCAGTCTACATAATTAGTTGCAATGATTGAGCCCTTTTGTTCTTGAAAGTCTAGAAATGAGCTTCAGTCCTGCTGTGCTTGAAGTCTGGGAAAAGGGGGAGTGCTGCCTGTTGGAGCAGAAATGGAAATCTTGATGGAAATGGAAAACTTATTAATTCTTTTTCTTTTCTTACATGTCCTAATATTCAGGAAAATATTTTAACATAGATGTCAATTTAGGTGAGGAAACTGGTAAACTCTTCATTGTATAAATGCATTTTTTAAAAAGAAATATAGGCCTTCACTGTTTGAATGGCAGCTCTTGTGAGAGACCTGGGAAAGCAGATTTTGAAATGAATACAGAGGTTAAGAGATTTGTCGTGATATTGTAGTAAATTGGAAACTAGTGAGAAGCTACGTTTGCACTAGACTGTGCTTCCAGTGCACAGTAAGTGGTGAATTCTCCCAGGTGTTAATATCTAGAGCAACTTCTTGTCACTTGTTGGTTGGATCACAAATGTGTTGTGTGCAGTGGAGTTGTGAAATCAACACCTCTTTGTGTAGCCAGAGTGTAAGCTCTTGCTCATCTTTGGGTATCAACAGAAAGTATGCAAAGGCAAGGAAACATGTGGTTAAGTCATAGCCATATACTGATTTCATCCTAAGTGGGTTTGGGGAAACTTTTTGTTGCTCTTACTTTTGAGAACATGAACCTCTTTGGTTTGTTTGTTTAATGTAGGATGGACGCAACCCTGAAAGAGCTGACCAGCTTAGTGAAAGAAGTGTACCCAGAAGCACGGAAGAAGGGCACTCACTTCAATTTTGCAATTGTTTTTACAGATCTCAAGAGGCCTGGGTATAGGTAAATGGCATTTCTTTTTGGGGTTAATAGGAGACTTGAGGCAACAGAGCAATATATTATTTTTCATTAACACTGATTTAAAAGTTCAGGGCCCATATATCTGTTCTCGACAACAGGCTGTGTGATGACTGCTGCAAACTTTACATTGATCATTGTTGTTAATGTGCTCCCAAAGCAATGTGTGCTTGAGGCTTTGGTCGCTATTGGCAGCCACCAGAACACTGACCTCCAGCTTGAGATAAAGCTATTCCTGTTGATAGGAGACCTGGTGGCTCTGGCATCTGAACATGCATTTCAGTTTCAGCAGTGGTCTTGTTGCAGAGACTGATCTTCCAGGATGGTATGAGCTAACCTTTGTAAGCAACCAGTGGATGTATCCTGCTTTGTAATCTGTGGGGTCATCCTCTGTGCCTGGATGGAAGGGATTGTGGGGTTCTCTCTAGTATTTAACTTAGTAACAGTAGAAGGTTCTCTCACTCCTCTGTCCCATCAAAAAGAGGACTTGGTGTAGCTCTTCCTGATGCACCTGGTACTGGAGAGAAAAGCCCCAGCATCGTGTGTGTGTCACCGAATACAGCGCAGACGATGGCTTGGGAAGGCAGTTATGAGCAGATACAGTTCCTGTTCTGCACATCCAGGGAGATTTGCCTCTTCTTACTAACGTGCCTTTCCTTTCCTGCACACAGGGTGAAGGAGATCGGCAGCACCATGTCAGGCAGGAAGGGCACAGATGATTCCATGACATTGCAGTCTCAGAAATTCCAGATAGGAGACTACTTGGATATAGCAATTACTCCTCCAAATCGTGCACCACCCCCATCAAGCCGCATGAGACCATACTAAGCCGCTGCTTCTCCGTATGGCTGTCTTCTGTCTATTCCTACTTGCTGTTTAAAGCAGGCTTATTTTTTTTGCTTTTGTTGCTAAGCAGGAACATCTGAAGACAAAGCTAAGCATCAGAAATGAAAGTTAACTTTTAAACCTTAACTTTTAGTTTGTTTAGAAGAAACATTTCTCTATAGCAGTGCCATCATCCTATCCCTGAGTGTTATAGTTTGAACAGGAAGTTAGTGTGTCCAGTGTTTCAAGATTTCCATGAAATATGACCAGAAGGATTACAGGTGTTCTGTAGTTCTGTCTTGTTTGGAATAAAGATGGATGTTATTGATCTTTTGATGGTGTGGTGGTGGTTGGTTTTGTATTTGTTAAAGTGGAAGTCAGCTTTTAAGCAGAAGTTGAAAGGAGCGGCAGAACCATTATCTGGTATCTCCTGGGCTCGAGGAGTAGAGGGAGGTGGCCTAATAGGGATTCCCTTTAGAGGAGGTTTTCTTAAATCACTGCTGGCTGGATTTTGGAGGATGAGCATGTGAGCAGTGTGGTCAAAGGCAGTGCTGCTCTTCCCTTCTGATGTAGGTATGTTGACAGAGGGAGTGTGAGGGGAGCCAGGGCAGACCCCTGTGGCTTGCAGGGGTTGCTCCAGCTTGTGTCGAAATGATGCCAGTTCACAGATCAGGAGTGATCTGGGTGACACGAGTATATCCGAGGGTGCTGAGGAGCTGGTGGCCTTACCAGAGGAAGATGTAGTTCAGTGCACTTGCACATCAGCCTTACTTGAGTTCTGGAGAACTAGTGGTACCTTTAGAACCAGAAAGTATAAAGCTGTCTTTGAAGGTCTTGCTTTTCTTAGAACAGTGGTCTCCAAACTTTTTTCATCACATAGCCCTGTTGATAAAAAATTTCTGAGTGTGCACCCCCGAACTTATTTATAAATTACATCTAATACTGTACTGGTGTGTACATTAAGAACTACACCAAAATCGGTGTAAAAAGAAGGATGAAATACTGCTCGTGTGCGTTCCACTTTGCTTTGTCTTTGGCTTGCCTCGTGCACCCCTTTGGAGACACCTGTCTCAGAAGGTGGGAGTAGCTGCAGAGGCCTGGCCAGAAGACATTTGGTGTTCTCAGGTCAAGGCTGACTAAGGAGCAGACAACTATTCCTTACTGAAGACACAGCAACAGGTGCTCTGCCCTGAGGTGCTCTTGCCTGCAGTTCAGATGAACTGAGGAGGTGAGGCGGGTCTGTGTTCTGGCAGTACATGTGGGAGTCCTCACCTTGGCCACCAGGTGGTTCCTGACCAAGCAAACCCGTGGGGTGGATGCAGCTGGTTGCATACCTGGATCTCCTGGGCTGCTGATGACAAACAATATAATGTCAGGATACACCAACCAAGAAGACAACACCCAGTTTTGACTTCCAGAACTCCAGGGAAGGCCAGTACTGTGGCCTCTTTCCCTTGGTTATCTTCTATGTATCTAATGACTATGTAGGATTTTTGATCCTACACTGACCAGTCTGAGCTGCGTAAATCTTGCTGCTTAGCCTGCAGTGAGGTGGCTTTTCACAAACACTTTATGTTTGTATTGAGCACCACTTTCACAATTTACTTCAACCATTGGGTGTAGGGACAAAGCCAAGGAGCTGTGAGGAGTCAAGGTTCAAGGCTGTTCCATGCTAAAAGGTACTGATGAAGCTGGAGGGTGTTGGGGGTGTTCAGCAGCTTCTGGAATCTCAGAATGGACAAAGGGGTGGCCAAGGAGTCTTGCTTATCCATAGGGAATCTGGAGTGCTCGTCTGTGTAATGTTACCTGGTACCTTATTGAGGAGCAGGAGAAAGAAGGGGTAACTCATCTCCCAGTAAATCAGTGCAACATGGGAGGTTGGGGCTGTGGCTTTCCGTAGCTCAGTGCTTGCCAGTTTCTTCTGCTGCTGCAGGGGGACATCTTGAAGACATGCAGTTGCTCCATGGTGCACAGCAGGCTCCAGCTGTACCTGGGGTGAGCCTGGAAGTGGCAGTGGAGCTGGTCTAGTGTGGCCAGAGGTGAGATGGGTGGGATATTTTGACAGGGTGAAGGCAGACACCTCTGGAGTGAGGGAGGGGGCACGCCACAACACTGCTGCTGTGAGGAGCTCACATGTTGTAATAGCTCAGTGACTGCTGTGGCACCAGGAGCAGGTTTGGTCAGGCTTGGGCCCCCTGCCCCCCGAGTGCTGTGTCATGATTATCAGCTTTTGGCACCTTATAGACCCAGGCAGACAGAATGAAGACTGCTGCTGTGTGGCCTGCTCAGCACAGGGCATCACCTGTGCTGCAAAATGAGGTGAGCCCTGCAGCAACCAGCATGTGATTACAGAACTGCACAGCCCTTCCCAAGGGCAAGAAGGGACACAGGAACATGGGCATTTCCTCATTTTTGGGTCCTGGTTTTTGCTTTAATTGCATTTAAGGATAATTCGCAAAATAAAATGAAGTCTATATAAAGCAGTAGCAGCAAGCAAGCCTGTGTCTGTGACTCAGCTGCTCTGAGAGGTGGTTTGGCTTTATTTGCAGCTGGATAGGGAGACATGGCCCAGCAAGGGCTTGTCCCTGACCCGACTGGGCAGGTCTTCCTGCATTTCAGAGGAAAAGAGGAACAGCTACTAGCTTTGTATTTGGTGGCCCATGAAGCAAAATCACCAGGAAGTGAACATGCAGAACTGCTTTCAGTAGCAAATACTGGAGCCTGACTGCTTAGGTGTGGGGTTCATGCTATGGAACCTTAGCTGACCTCTTCCCCAGCTGCTTCAGGCCAAATATCTCTCAAAATAGAGATTTGCCATCAAATGCATTAATTAGATTTTCAATTTAATAGGTTGAAAAAAGGTGTATCAGAAATGCCCTCCCCCCCCCCCCCCCCCCTTTTTCTCACACCAGGAACACCCCCACCATTACTTTGTTACACCTTATATAAATATTGCTGCTGCTTGTAATCATTAGCCAGGCTTTCATTTAACTGGGGGAAGGAGGATGAAGATTCCCCTTTGCCATGCTAAAGCCTTAAGCAAAGGGCTCTGTTTCCACAGTCCTTACAGGAGCAGGGGCTACAGTCCCAGAAGAGCAGCCATTTCCTTCCCCACAGTGGCAGCACAACCCTTTATATGTTCTTCTACAGTGCTTTTGGGAGACAGTGCCTGTATCTCCTGGAGGAACTGGTGTCCGGCTTAATTCCCTCCCTAGTTCAGCAGTGAGGACAAGTGGAACGCATGCTTTGTCAGTAACCTGTGCTGCATCAGACACACTCCCTGCTCAGGTACCGTGTTCACGGTCTGACTGGAGCAGTTGTGGAGGCCTAAGTTTTGGTTTACAGCTCTGGTCGAAAGCAGAGATGGGCATGATGCAGCAGGAAAGCATTAGGTATTATCAGCAAGTTCTCACTCTTGCACTGGAAAGTAGGGAAAAATGAGGTCTCTGAACCCCAGAGCAAAAAGGTGACAACAGCTATGGTCTTGGTCAAAGAGCAGTGCTGTAAGTAATGCAACAGCTAAGATCGGTTTGGGCAGGGCCTAAGCAATGCAAGCACCTACTGCTGCTGTCTCAGCCCCTGGGTCTAGACATTATTACACATCAGCTGGGTTAAGAAAAATATAATACATATATACACACACAGCATCAGTTCCCCCAACAGAGCAGGACCCTGAGGAATGTGGAAGTGCCCAGGGAACAGCAGTGTCAGGAAACCGTACCAAAGCAGCCTGACAGGCAGGAACACCATTCCCTGAGCAGCACAAACTGCCCGTGAAGATATCCTAGCTCCCACTGCCCCCAGCCTTCCCCTTCTCTTGCCTCAACATCCACCACTGGCTTTGCAGGTGAGCAGTGATTTGGGTCAGCACTGAGACAATATGAATAATTTAACCTTGGAAACCAACCATTAGTTCCTGGCAGTTGGGCAACAGGAATGGCTTCTCCTGCAGCTACAATTCTGTGATGAAACAGAGGGTGAGGCCCCGCAGCTGGGGCAGAGGAAAGGCAGGACTGTGCAGCAAGGCCTTAGACTGGTTCACATCAGTTGCATAAGCAAGCATTGGGCAGCATAAGCACAGGGCCTTAATTACAGGGCTTTAAGCCAGGAATACATTGTCCCAAAAATTAGGAAAGCTTTTGAACACCTTTGTGCTGGGTATTCTGCAAAGTGCCCTTCACATGGCCTTTCCCCAGGAGCAGTGCCTGCGCAGCATGGCCTCTTCCTTCCATGGACCTACGTGTGCACATTTGGGCTTTTATTTTTTTATTTTTAAACTCTTCAACTTGAATTAGACAAGATCAAAGAATTTCATGGACCTGGTCAGCTCCTTACCATGATGCCAGCTGCCCCTTTGTGGAAGTGGGTATTACTGTAAGAACAGCACAGGGATCACATTTAAGTTCACAGGTAACACAGCCGGCATTGACGTGATGTCTTCCTGGTAGGAAATTGCATCCTGTGGACTAACCTAACCTACATGCGATTCCATAGTGCGGCCACTGGATGTTGTCATTGCTCCTTATAAATGTCACTAACTTTGTATTACCGTCCCATAGAGAGAAAACAGACTCCCAAAATACAAGGCAGCTTCAACATCAGCAACAGCTATTGATGGAGCACATGCAACCACCATAAGTACTGGAACATCTGATTAATGACAACAGGGAACAAAGCAAATATCACATCTTACAGCAGATTTAAAGCAGGCATGGAGCTTTAAATAACCAAGGAAGCCTGGACTCCAGTTACTGCTTCAGTTCTTATAAACACATCAATAAATGCACAATGGGAGGCACTAAAAGCGATGCTTGTCATTTATCCACTTGACAACCATCTGGGAAGTTTCATTTCACTGTGAGATCTATATTTGTATTTAACCTCAAGCAAAATATTTCCCAGAGAAGAAAGCACTGACAACTTTAAGGGGCTTCCTAGGCAGAACAATTGAGATGCTCCTTTGACAACAAATGGGATTATGGAGAGAAAGTTCTGTTAGCTGACACATTTGATACACTTTAAAAAGTGAAAAAGAGATTAAGAACCAGAGCAAATGAAGGAAAACTAAGGGCTAGGCTTTTTTTGGTTGTTTCCCAGATGTCCCTGAACACTGAAGTGCAATTTTGGGTTCAATCTTTCCTGACTGCAGGCTACTGCTGGATGACGTTATCTGTTCTCACCCTTCCCTTACATCTGATCTCACATCAGCAGAAGCCAAGTTCGAGATTACTGTTGGGGAGAACAAACTAGAAAACAAAATTAATTGGCCTTTCATTGGCTCAGCAAATGGAAGGAATCCATCACAAAACTGCACAACTAACCCAGATTCTGTTCTGGTCAACAAACCAACCCCTAGATTCTGTGCAAGAGAATTGGTGAAACAGCCTCCAGTGGAAGCATCCCCCATTTAAACTACATTAAGCACAACACAAAGCCATACTCCGAGCCAATTTTGTCTGTTTTCAGGTGATGACTGCCCCTTACAGAACCACTGTTTGCTATTTATTTAGCTGTTCATCCAAAATGCACTTTCCAACAGGCCAGTGCTGTTATCAGACTCACCCCACAACAAGCCAATAGGTAGCTTTTAAGCTCTTTTGCATTATTCCCATTTTGATGTGTTACATTACTTTAGTGAGCAGCGGGATAAGGCTTTCCTCAGCAGCAATACCAGCTTAAGCGGAGTTTTATGCTCCTCCAGCCCCACAGCTACACCCTTAGTTGTTCCAGTATTTGAACTCATGCCACACAGCCACCTGCAGGAGAGAACTGATCTGAGGAAAGCAAACAAACAAACAAACAAGCAGACAAAGCCAAACACACAACTTTCCCTCCCCAGCTTAGTTTGAACACAGATCAGTTTCCAACATTGCTGATGCTTTCACTTCTGCCAACTTTTCCCTCCCCCACGCTTAATACTTAATCTACTGATTAGGCCTTACTGAAATCTGAAAGATTTTCAAAGGTAAAACAAGACAAACTAAAACTAGTTTTTGTTTTGCTGCTCTGATTATATCCACTTCAGAGCTGTGGTCCTAATACAAAGAATAATACAAGTATGAACAGCAATATCATATGTATTAGGGAAATATGGTAGGCAAGGAAAACAAAACTAACTTCATATCTAATTCCAAACAGTCTCATGCCAGCATCATGTTGTAATAGCTTGAGTAGACCAGAAGATTTTAAGATTTCAATTGTCATCTTGAAGATAATTTGTATCTCAAAATATCAATTGAATCCCTTCCATATTAATGAAATAGCTATGAAATGTAACAGAAAGCAAGAAAACCTATGCCAGTGGCTTATGGTGAGAACCAGCACTGCTGGGTACAACTCCACAGCTCCCTAATGGAGAAAAGGACAATGGAGTCCAAAGCTGTTTAGGCAAGTTTAGGGAAGAAACATTTAGAAGCCCTTCTGGGAATTTCATTAGTTGAAGGTGGTAGGGGAGGGAAACACAGCAATTTCCAGGAAAGTAGTGCTGCTTGTTCCGGTTCATGCTAAATGGAGCCTTTCAGGATATCTGGCTGGCTTCAGGGCAAGAAAGTAGCCATGAAGTACTGTGGAGGGAGAATGCAGGCTGTGAAACCCTCCTCCTTAGTACTGGTAAATCTGTTGGGCTGAAAGATTCTTGCTCTGCAGCAGAATGCTTTGTACTGTTTTCAGACCACAAAATTCCATGACTAGCATCCAGCCCATTCAGAGGTCTTAGTCTGTTAAGATGCTGGAAGCAGGCCTGGCCTTCCCTCTCTGAAGGAGTCGGGTAGAACAAGTGTTTTTATAGCATCCATCAAATTTATTTAGTATTGAAAATCTTGATCAAGCTCAAAGACTAACACATAATAATGCATGTTTTTAAACAGAAGTTTGCACAGAAAAATGACAGTATGCTCAGGCCAGACCTACTAGAAGATCATCTTCTCCAGTTAATTTGATATAGCAGGAAAAAGGCACCTTTATTTGCTAGGTTTTAGCCAGGATAACTCTAACCAACTGGAAAAATAGTTTTGGCCATCTCTAGATGTCTGCATAGCCCAAGGACTTAAAAAATGCTGTATCCAGAAAGGTCAGAAAAGCATTCTCTTCTCCCTATCTCCCTTCTTATGTGTTGCATGCCTGCCTTCATATAAATGACAGCATTTTAGCCATCAACAGAAAGACTACATAGAGCTGGTAAGAGCAGTCCTGGAGTCACTCAGAGGAACAGCTGATACTGGAAACAGCAAGCTCCACATAAGGATACATAGCTGGGACTTCTTGCTGATAAAAATGAAGATTTTTTTTTTTTCTACTAGAGATTTAAGTACTATGACTACCAGACACCAAAAAAGTGCCAACCAGCTCTGAGAACTTAAGCTTGGTCAGCTATTACGGGGACAGATGTAAGCAACACTACCACTTACAGAATGCACATGGCAGCAGAAGAGTAAGCGATCACCTACATGCCTGTCAGCAAATAATCCCAGCAGTCAAAGATATATGTAACCAGTACAAATTGTACAATACATTTTCAAATAATTCATATTCAAACAAGAGTCACCTTGATGGAATATGAAACCTTAACCTTTTAGGGTTACAAAGGTTAGACTGTCAAAAGGAAACTGGATGTATAGCACCTAATATGACCTCAATGTAAGAAAACTGTATTAAGAAAGCAGCAGCAGCATAAGATAATGCCTGTCAAGTAACAGTAACTGATGCAGGAATATGTCTGATATGTCTTATTGCAGAAGTGACTAATAGCATAGATACATTTTAAACAATAAAGCAGGACTTACTCTTCCAATAATAATAAAAAAAGACTTGTTTCTGTTGAAGATACCAAATACTGCTGAAGTACCACACACTTCAAACTCAGCCCTGGAGATGTTACCAGAGCAGCCAGAGATACCACTTTCTGGGACAATAAACTGGACTTTCCCTTTACTGCAACCTAACTAAGCTTCTCTATACCCCACAGCAAACAAGTATGTACAACAAACATGAGAATGAGATGAAAAAAACAACCCTGAAGCACTACCTCAAATATGACCCCAGTCCTCTTTGAAGCATATTAAAACACATATATGTAAAACCCCTCAATATATTTTGCCAATAATTCCAATTAAAAGATAAAAGCACAAGTTGTTAGTTCAAACAAGTGTATCCACATCATGGATAATTATTTTCTCCATTAAAAAAGCTTTTCCTTCATACGGCTCTTTCCTTCCATCAGTATTTTCTTCTGGTTTTTGAGCTTGTTACAATTCAATGATAAGATTCATGAATGTGAATACTCTTAACATGGTCTTCAGCTTGATTTAGATGTTTGGCTTGAAGAGTCCAGGATATCCTCTGCAAATATATTGAGAAAGGCTCATGAACTTCTCAATCATATTTTGAATTAGCCAAAGACAAACACTGAGAACACTACCTTGACAAGAAAAAAGAAAAAAGAAAAAAAAAAAAAAAAAAAAAAAAAAAAAAAGGGTCAAGCTTTGCTCTGTTTGATTACTTAAATGGATTCCAACTCTAAGCATATTAAGATACTTACTTTTATCAGTCTCTTTCTGGGTTGTGATTATTTGCCATATATGTTTCATGTACACCTTACCTAAATAATCTGTGCCAACCTCAAGTTTAACAGATAATCAACAAGTCTAATATACATGATATTAAATCAGGAATAGCTGCACTTCATCAAGTTGTCACAAATACTCTATCCAAATAGAGTTCTTTTTAAAAGCTATTATTCCATTGTTCAAAGATTACTCATACTTATTGTAGACTAATTTATCTCACATTGTTCATAAGGCAGCTTTGTATTTCAAAGAACTTCGTCTTTGCCAAAACGACTGTGAAATTGGTCATGTCACTTACATAGTTTTCTCCTATTCCTTAGTTTTATTGCCTAAATTTACTCAGAAGAACGCATTCACTGTGCTTTGATTGCCATGAAGCAAAATATACCTACTGAAGAAACAGTAACACTCTACCTTATTTTTTTTTGTTGGGGGTTTTTTGTGATTTTTTTTGAGATGGGAGGATTCAAACACAATCAATTATAATATTTGTCAATTATAATATTTGTTCTTTACAAAAAGGCTATCAGATACCAGGCCAAAGAATAGTTATTTAGTCACAGCAACAAGAGCTATTTTGGTAGCTGAAAAGCAAGCAGCTGCATGAATTTCTACATGTATTACAGCATCTTCATAGCTTCTCCAAATTAAATTACATAAGCAGATTTGTAAAATCTAATCATACCTGTTCTCTTTGTTGCAGTAATCCGTGACATCATTTTCATGTCTTGTAGCATTTCCTGTCTCAGTCTCCATTTCCTTGGTGTTAGAGTCTACCTTACCACTATATTTGCACAGGATCTACAGGAAACATTAAAAAGGAATAAAAATAATTATCTAGGAACTCAAAATGGGATTACAATTTATCCATTTTTAATAAGTAGCAGAGAACTCTTTGAAGAACAAAATTTGATAAACTCAGTGCTTTAATTTTACTATTTTGATACTAAAGCTATTTAGGAAAAAAAGAAGTATATTAGCTCACCTGTAGAACATCATCTGGTATCTTTGTTATTTCTGGAGGTGGAGGAGTATTCAGTAACTGGTCATAGTGTTTTATTTTGGGAGGAGAAGGGTCTCTGAAACTTTTAAGATACTCATCAGAGCTCCCAGCAAAAGAAATGCAGTCTCCCTTGTGTTGTTTATCTGTTGCATCATTCTTTGTCACTGACTCAGTCTTCCCCCCCTGCTTCACTTCCTGCAAAAGAGATATTAAATGCCTTCAGTTAATTAAGTATAGTTTTTATGAAGTGTTCTTACAAAGGTACCATTAGAAAGATCTATAATGACATAAGAAAAAGTAGTATTGGAATCCAAAGAATCCAAACTGAGATTTGAAAAACTCTTTATGGTAGTGTGTGAAAACGTACAGAATTGCTACTTAAGAACTTAGCTTCCGCTTTTATCCATTTCGTTTCAAAATCTGGACACCGTGGCGTTTCTGTATGACTGGGAAGAGGCTGTTCATTTGTCTCTGGTAACCTTGATAATACTGTACTGTTTGTTCTGGAAGGGATTTTCACATCAGGAGTACAGAACACAGGCATTGCAGGAGAAGCCATCCAGTTAGCTGCTGAAATTAAGGGGAGGATAATAACAACATATGCATCTACAAACACATACAAATATTATCAGTTTCAGTGCCCCAGTTTAGTTCTCCAAATTTGCTAGCCAATCATGTATTTGCATGTTCTAAAACATGCAACACACCTAAAACATCTAAGACCTGAATAATTTTAGTTAAGTTTTAGTATGAGGAACCAGCCAAGTTACAGAATTCCATAAAAGCTGAAAATGTAAGGAGTAGTAGTAAATCTAGTGCCATCACTGCAGATAACTGAAAAAGCTCAACCTAAATCATCATTGCTTTAGCTTCTGGTATATTCAATTGTTACTATGTTTGTCCCAACTGTTCAAGGCCAGGCTGGATGGGGCTTTAAGCAACCTGGTCTAGTGGAAGGGGGCCCTGGCCACGGCTGGGGGGTGGGACTAGGTGCTTTAGCTTCTGGTATATTCAATTGTTACTATGTTTGTCCCAACTGTTCAAGGCCAGGCTGGATGGGGCTTTAAGCAACCTGGTCTAGTGGAAGGTGTCCCTGACCATGGCTGGGGTTTGGAACTAGATAGTCTTTAAGGCCCCTTCCAACCCAAACCATTCCATGATTTCAAGAGAACATACTACATCTCCTCTCAAAGAAGTTTTAGCACTACTCTTGAAAGATCTAAGTTACAGTCTTGTTAGCCTCTTTCAAAAGAGCTTCTTTCCCATCTTTAAGCAGATCTAATGGGTAGTCTCATACAAAAAAAAAAAAAAAAAAAAAAAAAGCTAAGTTGGCAAACTAGTTTTTCTATTTCAAATAAGGAAAAGTTGCAGTTACAAAATGATGGATCCCTCTGCATAATTCTAGATGAACTAGAAGAATAGTAGAAGAATTAACAAAGATTTATACTGTAGCAAGACACTTTCCCATAGAAGCCAACAACATCCCGATTTGTAGGCATTGTATGCGCTCATACAATGACTGGGCCTGAATTAACTGTATTTAACAAAAAAAAAAAGCCCCACACAGTTTAAAAGTCTACCATATGTTTACAATGCATTTACGTATGTATTATGTAAAAAAAAAAAAAAAAAAAACAAAAAACATATGTATATCTATTTCATATTTTTTTAACTTACCATTCTTAGGTGTCACTTTTGATTTTGGCCCAGGAGTGACCATGATTTCCCTGGGTGTCATTTCCTGTACAGTCACTTCACGATCATCAACCAACCTGAAAACCAAGCCCCTCAATTAGCTCTCAAGTAACACAAAGAAATCACAACTAAAGGAATACTGCCAACCTGATCACTTTTCTAGTATTTGTTCACCATCATGCAAGTCAAAAATTGATTTCCTCAAAGATGATTTTTTCATAGATTTTTCATCTATGATTCTACCAAGCAATTTGTAGCATGCAAATGTTCAGTCCAGTCACACATTTTCAAACACACTAAGATTTCAATCCAAAGCAATAAAAACACCCCAAAATGAACCAAACCAAAGGTGTCCAGCGTAGGACCAATTTTCTTTGTCCCAGATAATCAGTTCTGTGTTAGGGGGTACAGTCTATTTTATTTTGAATTCTCTGTTGCCTACAGAAGTCTAAACAACATGAGGAAATCTTTTTGGCTCTTAACCTAGCAACATTAGTGTGAACACTAGAAGATTTTTAATTCAATTTTTAAGTTGGAGTAAGATTACTTATCTTACTCACTGGCTGACTTGAGAGTGAAAAGCCAGTTAACAGCAATTCCACAAAAGTGGAAACTGAAATTTTTTAGGTTCTTTTTTCATAGCCACAGTATTCTAGTGGAAGAAAGGTGTAGGCAGTTAAAAGAGGCACCGCCAGATAAAAAGTGGAAGCTTACCTAAACTCTACACAAAAATATGTCTATAAGAAAGTGACTTAATGTGTAAAAAGTTATTCTAACTACAAGAATCAGGTTTAGACCTTCTCCACAAAAAGCCTAAGCTTAAAAAAAAAAAAAAAAAACAAAACATCCATTTGAGGCAGTGTATTTGGGGGGGGTGTGGGGAAGTAGTAACTTTTCAAGTCAGTATTGCCTTGGGAATATTCTGGATACCTGAAACCATGAGTTTTAATTTTTTACAATGGAGAAGAACAAGTGTAACAAACACTTGTTTAGGCACTTTCTGCTTTTCTTTTCGTTCATCACTACTTTTGTTTTCAGTTTTGTAGTGTGGGCATTGAAGTGTATTTTTCTTCTCACCCGCTTCAAAACTGAAAGCCTGAAAATGAAGTTGACATCTTCTAAATGTTTTTTTTTTTAAGAGCTTTGAGACAAATTTTTAAAGTGGTTTTCACACACTGCACTGCTGCTGGGCAGATTTCAGCCAGGTGCAACCCATGCCTGCCACATCTTGCATTTTGTTTTTATATTCGCCAATTTAACATGCTAAGCCTTCGCACTAAGAGGAGAAAGGAGAGCTTTTTGAAGGTAACAAGCTGTTGAATTGTGCAACCTTTATCAAACAGCAAGCTGACTCTACCATAACATTGCAAAATAAACAAAACACAAAATACAGTTAAACAACATTTTAACTCTAATGACTTCCTCTTATGACCTCTCACATAATTCTGAATCCATCACAATCAGTGTGTGTTCCTCTGTTTTGGTCTTAATGATAATGTGTTAAAGAGCAATCAAGTTATAACTAATTCTCTAGAGAATTTGAGTATTATCATTAGGGATATATAATAATCTCTGTGGTGGACTAATTGTTTCACTAGAAGCTATAGAAACAGAATCGAAATAGAATCTCCATTTGTGGTTGTATTGATTTATAAATTACAGCCATGATTAAAGCTGAAGATCACATTTAAAGCACTACTCATTAAATAGGGAAAGTGGTATAAAAATCACAAAAAGTTAGAGTTATCAAAAGAACTTCAACTGTGTGATAAGCTGGCCCTAATTTTTATATATTATTCAAGAGTGAATCATTTTTGGTTTCATACCTTTTAGGATTCAGTAACAGTTTTCCTGTTACTCTGATTTGACTACTATAGAGCTTTATAGACATTATAGTATTTACACAGCTATTCAAAAGGAGAGATTCCCAAAATATTTTTAAAGAAAATGTATCTTTTCACTTTCTCCCTTCCCCCCAGTAATCTTAACATTAAAAACAAAAAAAACCCAAAAAAACAAAAAAAAAAAAAACCCAAAAAAACCACAAAAAGCCCCCCAGAAAAACCCAAACCAAAAAACACCCCAAACAAATGAAACAAAAAAACCCCACCAACCAAACCCCAAACCCCCCACAAAAATGTAACCATTGCAGTAAACTGGATCTTCGGGGGATAAAGTCACTTAAATTGGAAAATATCAGGGATTAAAAAGTTGGATTATTTCCACAACTTATTTTGAATATAGTTCTTATTGTTTGAACAGTTCCTCTAGATACCAAGTGTACAGCTGCAGAACAATGAGTTTCTTTAAAATACTGTCAGCTTTTACAATTGAACCTGTAGCCAGTACTGACTATAAAAACATGATCCCACCACCTTTACATTACCTCAGGACTACAAAAAACTCCTTGGACTGCTCAGGTGTTCTACACCTCACTGCTGCAAATTCTTTAATTTTAATTAGAGCAGTGAAAATCTGGAGATGTCTTTTCATGAGCAGACCAGAGCAAAGGGAATGTGGGGCTGGATAACATAAGAGATAATACACCCTTTCTACAATGTGGCATTTCATTCAGCGCTTTACAGGTTTTTTTTCTGGGTCTATATTCCTAAAGCTTTTCAAACCTTTAAATTGGCCATGTAATAACTACTGCAGACAACGCATCCTCAAATCCAAGGTTAAGGAGAGCAAAAGATCACAGATATACTGTGCGTTTTCCCTTCGGAAAGGGATTGTGTATGGAAAAATTCTTACTGTGGTGCAGTCAAGGGAAAGACTATATAGGAGATGGGTTTGATGGCAGCATTTGGCATTGCAAATGGTACACAAATAGACATGTAGAGAGTTGAATAAAGATACAGGACTAACCAACTGGTAGATACCTCACCTGCCTGAAGACAAAGAGAAGGGCAACAGCAGCACAAGATTAGTATAGCAAGAAGGAGCTACAGAAAATTCAGTTGAGAAACAATCTGAACTTAAGTAATTTACTTACTTCTTGCTTGTCTGAGCAGTTTTATGAATAAGTGACATCGTATAATCTTCATTCATACACATTGTATGTTCACTAATGCCAAAGTGTTCCAGTTTTGGTGTTACACACTCATAATCATCCATCTTCAGCTTACATTTTGGTGTTTTGGGCAAAGTACAGGGGGTCAGTGCTTTTAGTGGAGTTCTGTTGTTTAAATTTGCTTGATGCATATTTGTTGTGTGTTGTCCTTCCACTGCACTCCAAGGCCTGTAGAAACCGTATTGTGAAAGACCAAAATCGGAAAGCCGGGGGTTACGCAGTGGGTCTGCAGGCACCAGTGATTTCCCAGTACCAGCAGGAAGATCAGGTACATTATCTGCTTTGTCTTCATCGGATTTATTCTGGACAGATGCCATCGAATCACTTTTCATTTCTTTCTCCTCCTCTTCTTCTGCTCAGGAAAAGTAATTAAAAAAATTATAATTATGTCAGGAGTTTGTTATAATTTATAAACGAAATTGAGATTCCCCTCCTCCACCCAACCCCCCATATTAAATTTTTTTTACTTATTATTGTAAAGAATAGATTCCTACTTTCATTTTGAAGCAGTGAACTTGAAGACATCAAAAGCCTGTATCAGGCTAAGCTAGCTATATTTATAACATAAGCCACACATTGACTTGATGTTACTCTATTGGTAAATATTATTTCTAAGAAATCCTCTCCCTGCATAGAGTGGGCAGCAACTGCTAATCTTAAATATATTTATTTGTTTCTATTTCAGGGCAAGCATGAAAATTCATTAAAAAAGTACAACATAGATGTCAATGAAAACAAAATTTGTTCAGAACTAAAAATGTTTTTAAAGAAAGAACAAAGGCTGCACATAGAATTAGAATGTTCTTCCTTCCAAAAACCAGTACTTCAAAAGCATTATGAAGCAGCAACTAAAAACCTCATGAAAGAGGGTAGCTTTTTAGAGGAGTCCACTGCAGAAATAAGCAATGTGTAGCTGTACATTTCTGTAGCTCAAATAAACTGAAACACTCCAACAACATTTGTGAACTTCTGCATGATGCAGGAAGTGTGTGGGACAGAGGCATTACCTTTTTAAGTGTGTCAGTACTCAGTATTCAGATATACTTAGCTTAAAAATATATCTTAAAAAGTAAGTTTACTTTGTAGCTCTTTTTGGTGTCTTCTGTAAAGGCAGAGATAGGACAGGAAGGAAGGTACTATAAAATCAGAGTGTTTTGCCATATCTTATGAAAACATTGAAGTTGCTTAACTCAGAGGTGAGCACGGTCCACAACCACAATTTTGTTCTGTGGAATGACTGGATAATGCTTGGGGGAAAGGTTAGTTAAGGTGTGCCCTGCCAAGGGCTTCTATAAGATTAAGCCCTTGATACCAAAAGGGGTACCAGTGTGTAGTACTGACAGCTGTAGTGTTTTAAACTCATTTGGCACATCTGGATTTTTCACTGAGGTTCTATGTACCTTCTGACTGGCTTAAGGATCTCCCTCCTGCAAATGATCAAGCTACCGCTGCTTGCCATGTGCCACCTAATCCCTGTATGTGCTTCTCTTGTCCCATTTGTGCTGCAGAGCACATTATTTCAGGATTTTCCCAAAGGTGATTTAGTTAATGGAATCATCACATATGAATATGAATTAGTTTAGATGCACCTACAACAGTTTACCATGCACGAGAAGCTGAAGCAGCAGAATTCTCTAGGTTCTAAAACCACGTTTGCTACCATGTTTTTTGAACATAACTACTACTGGAGGAAAAAAAACCCAACAAAACCCAAACAAACCACAATACACACTAACTTAAAAGCATGCCAGGAGATCTAAATGTAATTCTATTTTGGTTTATTCTACTGGCATCATTCACACCAGAATCTTTTACTCTCTGGATATTATTATATAGCAAATAGTGTAGATGTACGTGGATCTCTAATTAATAGAAATATACACATAGCTAAAGAGAAACATTTTATAAAATCACATTTGTCTTCACATACTGTATTGCCAAGATATATTACCTGTAGAATCTTTCACATGTGTTATGTAGCCATTCTTCTGGAACAGCTTTCTTATTTCTCCAAGATCTGCTTCATTTCTTTGTATCAATATTTCACTTGCCTTCATAAACTCATGAATTGCTTGGTTTTTAGAGCAACTCTCACCAAGACTGGTGTTAAAATTTTCCTTTGGAGGCAAAGGGAAACATAGAAATGTTGTTTTTCAAATCGCCACATGGTAGTTGTTTACACATGAAGTGTTTTGGGAATAAGTATTTAACTTCAATTCAGATGAGAATAAGCAGCAAATTCAGGCCTTATATATACACAAAAATTAGATTACAAAATATCAGGAATATATAGGGCATGAGTGTACAAAAACTTACAAAAGTTAAACTAAGATGTCAGTTCACAGTATGATAACTACTTACTGGTAACCTTTCAAACAAAAGAATATGCTCTTACTCCATAAAATACAAGATAACAGCAATTAGTTTGGACTCTTAGTCCCCATATAAAAAGAATCAGTGCACAGCACTCAAGTTGATATCCTAGCTTACTTCTCAATTACTTCTACACTTGCTTATTTCTATAGCCCATTTTTCCTACTTCTATTAAAGAAATAAAGAACATCCTTCACAGGTTTAACTGAATGGCTGAAGGTACTGAAACTTCTATGAAGATTTTCTTTATTATAACTGCTAGTCATTGAACACAAACAAGCATACCTCTTCCACAGGGAGCTGCTGCTCCTGAATCATTATCCCCTATACCCACATCTTGGCACCCTGTGATACCCTGTTACCTTTGTCCCCTGCTGATCCAAGTGACAACAGTGCCTGCAAACTAATAAACACTGCTAAATCTACTTTTAAGTCACCCACACATTTCTGGGCACTAACCTGACATCTACATCCATTTTGAAAACCTAGAACTGTAAGTTTACAGAACACCCCTCCTCAATTTTTCAAAAGGGAAGTGAGTTAACATGTTACCTTTAGAGAGCTGATTTCACAATGGAGGTCATGTAAGACTCTCATTGGAGATACATCTTCATAGTCTTTGATATGCATGTTCACATAAGGAGGTTCAGAATGGAAAAAGGACTATTAGAATTTTAGCATGCAAGTACACTGTACATCAGAATATGATCTCCTATATTAGAGACGCTGGAGTTACACGTTAGTGAGCCAACATACCCATCAACCCACCAAAGGCGGATCTCCACACGCCCAGAGGAGCACAGGGGCGCAAGCGCAGGGGGGAACCCAAACCGAGGACCCCCAAGGTACATCCCCCCAAACTCTGAGCGCTCCCGGCAGAGCCATCAGCCCAGCGCCCGTGTGTTCCACCCCGGGCAGGAGGCGAGGCCTGCGCTTACCCGTGTTCTCCCCGTTCAGAGCCTGCTCCAGCTGCTTCACCTCCTTCTCGAGCCTGAGGGCCAGGGTGCGCAGCCTACCGAAGAAGCTCCTCGACACGTCCATCGTTCGCGGGGCAGGGGAGCGCTAACGGGACA